ACGGGTTGGTTTTTATAAACGGGTCGAGTCCGAGTACATCCTCAAACCCGACCCGATTCGACCCTTTCGGAACACTACTTAAAACTATCCAGTTAATTAAAAATTCATCACGTTCGGATTTTTCTTTTTGATTATATGGGATAATTTTTATTTGTATTTATGATTCATAAATTTCTTGATAAATTTTTCCATATGTGTGTTTTTAATATTCCAGTAGACGTTCATTTAATATTACAATAGTTGCAGATCTGCAATTCTTTTGTCGCTGTTGATACAGGTCTTTTTCTAGTATTACGAATAGGTCCTCACTATTTTGTAAAAAATCATTTAGCGAAATATTAGAATTAGAACTCGAAAAATTATTTTGATCATTTACATCAGACATTTTACCAATAATTAAAATAACGTTAATGATCATCAGGTATTATATATAAAAAAAAAATAAAACAATTGTAAAATCCGTAATTGTTAACTGTATAATCAAACTGTGGTTTAAAGTATGGTTTAACTAAACAATAATAACTGAATCAAACTATTTTAATCAGTTTAAGGCTAAACGGTTTGCCTCAAGCCAATTACATGGTAATCTAAACGTTCCCGTTACACCAGTGATGTTAATGGGACAATTGGACAATGGACTGTTCATTGTCCATTGGCTAAGTAATGGAAATAGAAAATGTGTTCATTGATATTCACTTATAAAAAATAAAAATGTTTAATAGTATCTTTTGAAATTTGAAATTTATTTATTTTATTCAAGTCAACAAAATGAAATTTATAATACTATTCATTAAAAGAAAATTTTCTATTAGAGTTTTACAAATCTCATATTTTTTTATTTTGCTTTTGGATCTCCTGGCAAAAATTTCCTATAATTCTTATTTGTTTTTGTTTTTTAAACCTTATTTCTTTAAAACAAAAATTAAAAAAAATTTATATTACCAATAAATTATTGTTTTTTAGGAATGGTTGCACGATATTGTATTTGATTACCAACGATACAATAACAAAACTAAACCCTTATCCGACCAATATATTATTACTTTTTTGGAAACTCTGTCATTTAAATGAAATTCCTTATTAATTTTTGGGTCAAATGAAAACTCCTTTCAACAATAAACTTTTATGATAGATGTAATTTCCTTATTCGTAATTTTTTGACGATCGAACAAACAATATTAAAAAAAAAAAGGAATTCCTATTTTGACAATCTAACAATAAATATCTAAATTTGATTTTGGGGAAAAATGTGTATATAAACACGGTTAGTTCACAAAAAAACGCAATTATTAAAAAACGGTTAGTTCCCTATCAAAAATGACAGTTAATAGTAAGGAAATTATACTCGAGGATGAATTGTCCACAATTATAGCTATAAATTCGGATGGGTCTCTTGCTGCGATTTTTAATTCAGGTATGAACCTTTAATAAATTATATTTCTTTATAAGTTTGATACTTCATTAAAATAATCGCTTAATTATTTATCTATGGTTAGAATTAGATATTCTTAAAATTTACGACTTAGCTAACAATACTACACTTAACACTATAACAGTTGGTATGAAAAACAATTTACCTGAGAAAATATATTATTCTTTGGCCATTTCCAATTATTATACAACAAGCAGCCAAGTAGATGAAAAAAATGCATACGTAGCCGTATCACGTTTTTGCGAGCCTCATTACACTCAATTTTCTGATAATTATTATGATCCTGTCATGCAGATCGGTCCAGATTTAGAAAATGGTGTTATGAACGATAACCTGGAAAAAACGATTATTTTTTCAGTACAAAATGGACAAGCAGAGAAAACCGAAACTACTTTAGACAATCACGGAGGGGTTGTTAGATTTTTAAATACTGTTTTGTCAAAAAATGATGATAAATCGGACGGATCTATTAGTTTAATTGTAATGAACAAGTCTGGAATTGCAAAAGTATTTATCAATCATAACAGTTCTTTGATCACGGAAGAATATGAATTGCCAACAACCATTAAAGTTAAAATTCAAAATTTTTATAAAAAAAATCCTCATACGAAATTTTTAGATAACATTGTTGAGAAAAATTTTTTATTTGTTGAAGATTATAGGAATCAAAGACTTGAATTGTATAATTTACAATCCTTGGATTTAGAATTGATCTGCCATAAGCGTGATGAATTGTCTGATTTAACGCAAGCGAGTGGAAATTCCATGTTTTCCATTTCAAAAAATGGTCTCTTATTAGCATATTGTAATAGTACAAAGAATATTGCAATTCATTTAATGGAAAATGGACTTGAGATTACGACGCAAAAATTTACTGAAGCAAACAAAATCCTTTTTATTTCATTTACTGAAGATGATGAAAAATTATTCATTGTCACTCGAAATGAATCATCCGTATAAGTGAAAATGAAGAAAATATTATATTCACCCTAAAGATATATATTTGGGATCTTTTTACTTCTAATAAAATTATTGATGTGAATGATGATCAATTGATCAATAGCTTGTTCAAGTGGTATACTCGCATTTTTACAGGATGAGGATAATTGTTCAGTCCTCAAATTGTCGGACGTTAAATTAATTCCTACTAATAAATTACAAGATATTCTTCTCCAAATTACTTCATATCAAACTCAAGTAAATTCCCACTTAATCTTTAAACTAAATGGAACAAGGTTGGATGCTAATAATGTGCCCAAATCAGTATTGGACAATAACGAGCCATGGAGTCATAAGAATACTGAATTAATTTCTTTATATCTTGATAACGATGAAAACATTCAAATTATAATCGGGAGAAATATAGTACAAGTTTGGATGAAAAAGTATGACAATAAAAGTAAACAAGTTAAACGAGTTTTAGAATATATTTGGGCGAATAAAAGCAATGAAGCAATTAAAGTTGAATCTTTAAATGTTGGAGAGGAAGAATTTACTTTAGATTTGTCATGGACTGTGTGTATAATGAAAATGTATTAAAAAGGCATAATATTCATTGGCCAAATAAAACTAATGTCCTAAAAAGACGCATGTGTCGCAATGGAGTACCTTTATAGAAGAAGAGACGAAATTTTAGGGATGAAACGTCTAACCATATACAAAGATTTGGTTGCAGGCACGGACAGTCTTATTAAAAAATGCATCAAAGAAAATCCGGATTTATGGAGTTTAACTGAAATACGATATGATATTATGGCCAATATCATCCGTTCAAAGAATACAACATTGATCCATCAGATTCTATTCGAATATAAAGTAACAGATGACAATAAAACGAGAGTTAGCCGTTATATACATATTCCAAGGGAAAAAAAATGGTTTGGGCATAGTAGGGAAAGAGATTCGAAAATTTCTTCAGATGAAATAAGTGATTTGATACTTGCTATTCAATATTCTTCAGGTGGACATCGTAGAGATAAAGCTATCGTCGCCATGTTGCTCGATTATTATTCAAATAATGCGGAAAAAGATACCGGTGAGTTAATTAATATTTTCACACGAGACCCGAAATTTATTACTAAACAAAAAAAATCTTTCCGTATCACAGGTTGGATGTATACATTGACAAATGCTCTTCCTTTGCTTAGCACGAGTGACTTTGGTATTTAAATGAATATTTCCTCTCTAAATAGTTTGCGATGTTCATGCGTAATATTTTTATCTGATGATAATTTGCATCATTATAAATACAGAACCTTATTTAAAGGAGTTATTTTACAAACCGTGCTTTGGATCCAAAGAAGAACATGTAGATTTTAGATTTTTGGATGAAAATAAATTGATCGATGGATTTAAATCGGACATTTGTGCATTAAATGTGAGACCACGACTTTTATTGAAGCAAAATGATTCATTGTGGAATAAATTTAAAAGATTTCAAAATGATTATACAGTCGAATCTACAATTACAATACGTGTGGTTCCATTGCCAAATTTTACAGTTTATCCAAATACGACACATATAACACCTAATTATTTCATGATTCTATTAAAATTTATCTCACACTTATTTTGGCCAAAAGGTTATATTACTATGGAAAAGAAGGAATATAGCATTTTTCTACAACTTATAAGTAAAAAACGGTTTGATGAAATATATGATAATCCAGCAATGGAAGCATGCATCGATTTTAAATAGAGATCAGTGAGAATTCATTTTGTGCGTCGTTTTGCATTATTTGCAGCCTTTTCGTTAATATTTGCATTAATTTCTGGAATAATCCAAGATGTTGATGTTGTAACAGAAAAGATATTATATGTAATATTTTTCTATCTTGGATACTATCTTTTAGCGACGGAAGTTGTGCAATTGAAACACGAGAAATTGAAAAAATATTTTAGCATATATAATATACTTGATCTTGCATCAGTTATAATTGCAATAGTTACGATGATATACTTTCTTATTAGAAAAGAAAATGGCAGTCCAGATGAAATTCAAAATATCATTATTTCGCAAGCGTTCGCGTCTTACTTTTATGGCTTGAATTAGTAAGTATTACATTTGTTAAATTACATTTTTTTTAATTATCAGTAATTTTAATTTCTTAAATTATTTCTCTAGTTATTACTGACGCGATACTTAAAAAGTAAATGTCTTCATTTATATTCATTTATTATATGATTAAAACTCATTTATTATTATTATTATTTATAATTAAAGGTACCGCAACTTATGTTAGCATTATTTTAAACATTTTAAAAGCTATTTGGCCATTCCTAATTTTTATGGTAAATTTTAATCATATCATGAGAAGAAGGAACATGATTATAATTATTTATTAATTAATTTACCTTTTTTTAAAAAAAAAAAAAATGTATGTGTAGTTAATGGCGATCGTTGCTTTCGGTCACGCAATGGTATGCACTATCATCTGAGCTTTGTTCAAAAGATCAGACTCATGATTTCCTTTACTTCTTTTTTATAAAAATATTAATTCAAATATAATTAGCATCTCATATTAAAAAATCCTAAACGTATTGGTTTGGAACCTAACGGCGACACGATGATATCGCCAAATCCAGACGGAACTGGAAACATGGCCTTTTCACAATACATTGATGTTGATCAACCTATCGAAAATTATTATGTATCATTTATGTATTCTGTTATGGGAGCTTATTTTTGGATCCTTGGAAGGTGGGATCAAATAGAGCAATGGGATTTTTGGCCTGTTTATGTAACCAGTATAGGTAGATATTTCACATATTATATATATATTTATCGCGTTAATCATGAAGTTATTAAAGCTTTTTTTTCATTTTTAGTCGCAAGTATTTTATTGGTCACTATCATGCAGAATTTGTTGATTGCGTTAATGACGAGTGTATAGTAGTTGTATTTTGGGCTTTTTGGCACAAAAAGCCCAAATGCGTCCAGAAGGTTTTCCTGGGTATCAAAAAATTATTCTCATAGCGTAT